TCAAAGAGATCCTGTGACTGCTTTGGCCTCCACTGCCCACATCTTCCTGCTAGGCCTTGACCCATCTGGCTTTTTACAGCCTTTTGTTTCTGACAACAACAGAGGTTTCTGTAATATTCAATATTACTTCTCAGTTATTAAGCTACTGCTAGCTCCTAGAGTTCCGCTCAACTGTCTGCTGCTTTCCCCCGCCATTCTCCAAACATACAACACCCCTCAAAACTATCCTAAGATAGCCTATGAATAATTCTTTCCTTTCTATTTTGAAAAATCTGAAACATGCAGAAAAATGTAAAGACTAGTACAATGAACACGTATGTCCTCCTATAGTGACACTCAACCTTTTGCCACATTTTAATTCTTTCTCTCTATATATAACGTACACATATGAATACATATATATTCATACACACATGAATATTGTACAACCTAATTTTTTGGCTGAACCATTTGAAGCTATGTTACAGGTGTTGTGGCACTTCATCCCTAAATACCTGAATAGGATATTTTCCTAAGTAACCGAGGTAAGTTTCCCACGTAATAAAATTAACAATTCAATTATCCAAAATCCAGTCCATATTCAAATTTCCTGAAGTGTCCTCAAAGTTTCTTTTACAGTTTTATTTTTCCAAACCAAGACTCAATCAAGATTTACCCAATTGCTTTTAATTGATTTGTCCTTTGTCTTAGTCTAGAAGAGTCTTCCATTATTTCTAATGACATTGACTTTTGAATAATTTAGGCGTCTTCTTTTGGAATGTCCCACATTCTGGATATGCCTGAGTTTCCCCTCAGAGTCATTTTACTGTTCCTCTGTCTCTGTATCTCCTGGAAACTGGAAGTTGGGTCAAAAGGCTTGATTGGCCCTGGCTGGTGTGGCTCAGTGGATTGAGTGCTGGCCTGTGAACGGGAAAGTCACTGGTTTGATTCCCAGTCGGGGCACATGCCTGGGTTGCATGCCAGGTCCCTAGTTGGGGGCTGCAAGAGGCAACCAATTAATATATCTCTTGCACATTGATGTTTCTCTCCCTCTCTTCCTCTCTCTCTAAAAATAAATAAATAAAATCTTTAAAATAAAAGGCTTGATTATATTCAGGTTAAGTATTTTTGGTAAGATCCCTTCACAGATGATGCTGGGACATCATTATTGCATCAAATCACAAGGCCTATGCAGTCAGTTTGTTCCACCACTAGTGGTGGTGTGGTCACTAGGTTAAGTTGGTGACTGCTGAATTTCTTCATTATAAGGTGTATCTTCCCCTTTGTAATTAAGTACTCTGTGGGGTGATACTCTGACAGTGTGAACATCCTGCTTTTCCCTGCCTCTTCTTATAAGATGGGTTTTAGCTTCTGTGGATGACCTGTGCCCAAATCACTGGGGATTGCACATGGTAATTTTTCCATTTCTATTACTTCATCTACATCTATTGGCTGGCATTCTTCTATAAGGAAAAACAATCCCTCCCCCACCTTTGATTTTGAGTGTCACTTTGGACTTATGGATTTTAAAAACATACCCAATGCTTTGATAATAAATGGCAGTCATTATTCTTTTTAAGACTCATACTGACTCACGTTTGGCTAGGGGAGTCCCCTCTAGCTGGTCTGTGACTTTTTGACTTGATCTTATTAGTCTGGGGACACTTCCTTGCTTTCTGGCAAGATGTTCTAAGCTCACTTTGGTACTTTCTGGATCTGAGACCTGAAATCAACCATTTCTCCGAGACATGCTATTTCTTTTGTGGGGGATGGCATCTAGATATGAAGATATGGGGCACTCTCCACTGGAGTCACATTACATCTAAGAAATATACAGGATCTGGTAGAAGTAGGGCTTGCATGAGTGCAGTTGGTAGGGAACGTGAATGCCACGCATGAGATGGACAGCAAGTTGAACATTTCACCTAAAATGTCATACAGTGTGCTTGAGCATGATATTTCTGTTACAGAATTACATACTTATGATTTTGTAATAAAAGATTTTTATAATTAAAAGGGGGCGTTATTTGTGCCGGACCCTGTATCTATATACAGAGAAGTCATCAGAGTGCTCCCCTCATACTCTTCATTTTCTATTCTTATTTCCTCTTAAAAGTTTTAAACAACATATATTATTTACTTTATCTATACTAGACATGAGTTTCAAAATTACATCACCAATAGTACTATTAGTAATACATCTGTGATGGTATTTTTTTGTTGTTCTTTTTTGCCCTCAGAATATATCCCACAAAGAATGTATGTAAAAGTACTATTAAACACCACTTTCAAATAGGTCTAAAGAACTTTGAATGACTCTACCACTTCTGATCTTGGAAAAGCCTCTGATTATAATCTTTTCCAAACTGAAAGAATCCTTGCTTTCTTTTTTAGTGGCACATTTTCCTCTTCTTTAGTGGTACACATGAAACAGAACAAATGAAAATGCATATCCTGAGACTAGCAAGGCAGTGCAGACTGAGTGAACAAAATCAGGAATGCTATGACTGATGAGCACCTGCACTGGTCAGCATCTATTTAAGGTTGTTTTTCCATTACCTTTAAACAAACGAGGCCTTGTAAGAGTCATCCCAGGGTATGTTTTCAATGTACTGTACCTGAAAATACTCAGTAAGTACAAAAAGCCAATAGCTTGCCCTGCAGCACATCTCCATGCAAACATTCAAAATACTTATTCTGACTAAAGAGGACAAAGGACATAAGCAGTTATTATGACTATGTACCTATCTCTAATTCATCTCCTTAGGCATTTGTCAAGAGCAAACAATGTGGGCAAATCTGGGGCCACTCTTAGTTAGGAAGGAATACCATAAAAGCTAAATTAAAGAATGCAATCTTCTATTTAACCAACATGTATTAGTTTATTGTGCCCTGCAGTGGGCTGGCACATTTCCAAAGGCAGCTGCTATACTTTAATTTTCCTGAGCAGTTTAAAATTTTCTTTGAAAAGGGACGTGAAAGTGAAATAGCTGTGTATTCTAATGATAATCTGGAGTCTTTAAATTTCATTTACTACTGGGTTTCAATTAAATAAATACCAGGCTTAAAGAACTAGAGATTTTAAATACTGTTCTTTTTGAAGAACAAACATGATTAATCTGAATGAGAATGTTTTAAAAATCAGACACTTGAAAGTATATTTTGACACTTCAAAGGAGGTGGGAAGTCAGAATACCTATTTGAAGTTATCACTCTTAAGTCAGAGCTCATATTTGCTCCAGTTTTGTCTTTCACTGCGCACAGAATCATCGTGAAAATTGAATGAATGCATGTAAAAATGGTACCTGGTATACAACTGTTACCATCACAATCTCTCTGTGAGGAACTAATATTCAATATAGCTTTTCTTTCCAAGTATAATTTATGTTGCACAGACGGAGAGATTAAAAGCAATCCTGAAAGCAAAAACTATCAAGATGATAAAAAACAATCCTATACTGGAGCTTATAACAAATATTTCCCTATTTTCTGATCTGGAGGGGTTCATGAAGAGTTATTTGAGAGACTTTTACACAACTGTAAATTTCACTTGATATTCAAGAAAGATCCTCCTGGGGTTAATTTTATAAATACAACTAGAATAAGAGCAGTTATCAAAAACATTATATTTTAAACAAATTTCTACTAATTTCTACTATATATTAAGGGAAAGTTCGTCTTTCTGGCTTGTCTTCCCCCTTTAGCTACACACTGCTGCCCTCTGCAGCATTTTCAGAGGAAGTCTTTGACTTGCAAATAGTTACTCCAGTCATTACAAACCTGGTTTCCATCTGGAAGATTATCTGTCTCAATAGGAGGGACATGGGTGTAAAAGGAAAGGCCCCTTCAAGGAAAAACCAACCAACCAACCAACCAACCAAGAAGGCACTAAGGCAAGATGTTGTTCTTAAGACCCTTTCTTCTGATACTCATATCACAAGCCTGTGTCACAAGTCTGTATTTTTCTTGACAACTAGTTTCTAGTATTTACGTAGTAGCCTTTTTGGCATTCATATAGTAGCCTCTTTGTGTCATGGGTCTTTATCTTTTTTTTATAACTAGTTTAATTGGGGAAAATATACGTATAAAAATGGTAAATAGTAAAAAGCGTAATCAGTGAAAACATCTGGTTCTCACTTCAAATCTCTAGCTACGTTTGTGAACTTATCCGTTCATAAGTAATACATCATTAGAAACACACAAACTTAACGGACATTTAAACAAAACTTAACGGACATTTAAACATAAACGTAATTACTTACACCACTACTTATCACCCAGGACTATAACTTCGTGATTGTTCCCTCTCAAGAGAGATCAACATATATAATTAATTTAAACCAAATAGGTTCTAACAAAATAGGTTTGAAACAAATCACTCCAACAGGTTCTGCCACAATTCAGGTTTTTTGTTGCCACTACTGCGATTATTATAAAAAGTGGTGGTTCTCAAACTTGAGCGGACACCGAGTTTACCTGTTCACCTGGAGTGCTTGTTAAAACAGGTTGCAGAGCCCATCCCCAGCATTTCTGAGTCACGTCTGGAGGTGGGGGGGGGGGTGTTGAAAATTTGCATTTGTAATAGATTACCAGGCGATGCTGATGCGGTTGGTAAAGGGACCACACTTTGAGAACCAACTGGTACGAATGTTGCATTAAACCCCATAACTCCCATCTCCCAGCACTGCTCGCCTAAGGAGATATACACGATTACTACCCGGAAACCTCAAGAAAGGACTGACAGCCCCCCTACCAACGGAACAAACCCACGACACCCCCTCCCCCCCAAAGCCGGAACCAGTAAAACGAACCTACAACCGGCGCCGGGCGCAGCCCAACTACGCCATTTCCTTCCTACTAAACCCCGCCTACTCCGCGTCCTCAACGTGATAAGGGAAGACGGCCCAATGGGCGCCAAGAATCACGTGAGTCTAGCGAGGTCTCGCGAAGGGTTTTAACGTCTCGCGAAACTTCACCCGCCTCCGTCTTCCTCCTGCCAGTGCCCGGCTTTCCTCCCCTCCCCCCCCACCGCCGGCCGAGTTCTTCCCAGACAGTCGCCTTGTTGTCGAGGAGATTGCTCCTGCTGCTGCCGCCGCCGCCGCCAGTGTCGCCGCTGTTACACCCGGGCTCATTTGCCCCGACCTCTTCCCGCCGCCCCGTCCCCAACCCCAAGCAAGGTAACGAACTCCGTGAGGGAGAGAGTAAGGCCTCGCGGGGCGCGGCCTCTTCCCAGTCGTAGGAGGCCCGAGGCGGAGTTGCCCGCCGCGCTGGAAAGGTCCGGGCCCCGGCAGGAGTGTCGGGAGCCCCGGCCCCCTCTCCCACTCCCGGTTGGAGCCTCCGGGCCGTGGCGGAGAACCTGGCTAACCCGGGGAGGCCGTCGGGTGGGGTTGGGACGCGGGAGGCCTCTGAAGGACAACCTCGACAGTTCGGGCGGAGCCTCTTTGGGGCTGTGGGGTCCCGGCCCCGCGGGCGTCCGATCGCTTCGTGCGTTCGGTTTCCGTGGAAGGTGACGTTTGGCTTTGGAGATCTGAAATAATCAGCCAAGTTGTGGCGGGCTTTGGGGTCTTGCGTGGATAGGGGAGCAGCCCGGCTTCCTCTCGCCGCCTTGGAGCCCTTCCAGATTCCAGGCTGTCGTTGGACGGGAACTGTAAGACAGGGAAGGGTCCTCTGAAACCCTGTGCGTTTGTTGCTCATCGAGAAAGGATTCGCTGACATCTTATGCTCAGGAGGAGGAGGAGGAGGAGGAGGAGGAGGAGGAGGATCCGGATTTGGTGAAAGGCACGTTCCTTAGGATACCTAAATGGGAGCGGACTTGGGCTGTTTCTTTTATTGAAGGAAATACGTCTGCTCGGAGAAGAGCACCTAAACACACTCACTAATTGAATAGTGCGTGTAGAGAGTTATTTGTGTAGTTAATCTAAAAGTCACTTCTATTTGGCTTCGGAAGTATTCTTTAGTGCTTTTACATATATATATATATATTTTGGAGTCTCGACTCTTGCAACAGATTAGTGCTTTTGGGGGGCGGGGGTGAATGACAACCCTGTTAATTGAGCCTAACACAGTGCCTTCCTCATTACAGAAGTTTTAAGAAAATTAGAAATTCTCTTTCCCCCCTCATCACTAAGTGTTTTCTTTTCTCTTTCTGTATAGAATGTATCTGACATGTCTATAATATTCAGAATGCATTCCCTTGAAGTTTGTGGTTTGGCTCAGAGAGACAGCTTTTCTCTGAACTAACCAGTAGAGGTGATGGGGATACACTAAGTTGCAGAGAATTGCGAGATGGGAGCAAAATTGGTAAGGTTAATTCAGGCAGACAGGGAATTATTTTCTTTATGGTGCTTTTGCCTTGTTATGTTCGGTTTTCATGGCCTTACCCTTTTTTCCCTCCAGATGTCAGAGGATCTAGCAAAACAGCTGGCAAGCTACAAAGCTCAACTCCAGCAAGTTGAAGCTGCATTGTCTGGAAATGGAGAAAATGAAGATTTACTAAAATTAAAGAAAGATTTACAAGTAAGTATGAGGAGACACTAATAGTTACATTATTCAAAAAGAGTAGTTCTGTGTTTTTCAGATGATTTATATTGCTCATCCTCTGGATGTCCAAAGCATCCCTTGGAAGGTGGTATTTATCCCTCCTTTTGTGTATATTCCCACAGGAATATATGGCTTGTAGAAGTAGGGTTGCTTCCTCAATTTGCATACATCAAAATGAGTGGAGCATTGTCCTTTGTTATGTAAGTTTTGTATTCTTACAACTTTTAAAAATAAGTTTATTTTAGAAGTCTGTCAAACCTATTAGAGAAGGGATACATGTAACTTTACAGTGGGGAGTGCTTTTACATATAATGACCTGGCAAAGGATTTAGTTCAAAGAGTAACTAAAATTGAAGGAGAAAAAAAAAACCTAATTAAGATTCTTTTTAATGCCACAAGATTCTTTGAAAACGGGAGTGTGTGTCAAAGCTAGTGGGTAACACCTTGTATTGAAAACACATTATAAAAGATACTTTTCTGTATAAACATTACATAATATTTGAACTTAAGTATAGGTTTTACTGTATAGTTGTTGACACTTGTTGAAGTTAAATTGAATCTATGTGAAAGGGATCTTAACTTGTTTTGTTTGTCACAGAGGAATTCAGGAGGTGTGACACCTACTTTTAAAAACCCATCCTGGTTGGTGGGGTGAGGGGGGCGGGTTCAAGACAAATAAAGCCATAATAGTAAATATCTGTTATTTTGCAGAATACTAAGTTGATTAATTAAAACATCACACAATAAGATTTGTAAATATATATGACTTTTCATCTTAACAAATTTGAAAACTTAAAATTTTGAATGTGATGTTTTGGAAGGTTTTAAAAGGTGTTTTGATTAGATGATCTTCCTTTACTGAGTCAATATAGAACTTTGATCATCTATGTCTTAAGTAACCCTTTTTCTCTCTTTGATCATCTTTTGCCCATTAAAATTATTAATATTTTAGGGATAATAGAACTTCAAACAAATGAAAATTATTTGGCATGGGGGTCCAGATTCAGGATTCTGGAAGAGCTTATCTGGGCATGATTAAGATGTTGAACATTTTCAGGTTCAAATTCTATATTTAGGATAAAGTTACATGAAGTTACAATGGTACATTTTTTTTTAAAGGTTTTATTTATTTATTTTTAGAGAGGGAAGGGAGGGAGATAGAAAGAGAGAGAAACATCAATGTGTGGTTGCTGGGAGTCATGATCTGCAACCCAGGCACGTACCCTGACTGGGAATCGAACCTGCAACACTGGTACGTTATTTTTAAAAACACAGAAAACAGGATCCCTTTTCAATATATGGAAGTCAGGCCAGTGGATTTCAGGGTGGTAGTCAATAAGGAAGAGAGATTTGGGGAAAACTTGCCCCCACTCCTAGGCTAACTTTCTTGTCTCAAGGAGAGAGCTAGGCATGCCCGTGTTATCTTTTACCATTTTAAAAGTAGTTTTTTGTTTTTTTTTTTTTCTTTAAAGAAAATGAAAGATTGTGTACATTGGGAGAAAGGATCTGTGTGGCACTGGTCAAGGCAAAGTTTCGAGTGAAAGTTGAAACAGCATCATGATTATGAGGTCTTTTTAATGTGGCTAAAATAAATTGTCAGAGCCTGGGCAGAATTGCCATGTAGTGACATGAACTGTAGTGGGAGTATTGGAGAGAGGGAGAGACCGATGGGGTAGGCCTTGTAATAAGCACATAAATGGCTTACTTAGGACTGAGTTAATAATGCCCTGGGGGTCATTTATCTATAAAACATTCTCTTTATATAACCATTTAGAACAGCACTGTACAATAGAACTTCCTGTAATGATGGAAATGTTCTGTATCTGCTGTGCAGTGCTGTAGCCACTAGGCACATGTGGCTATTGAATATTTGAACTATGGCTAAGGTAACTACAAACCTGAATTCTTAATTTTATTTAATTTAATAGCCACATATGGCTACCTTATTAGAAGGCACAGGTTTAGAAGCTTAAGTTCTAACACTTCAAGTACTAATAATACAGGATGTTTTCCTGACCAAACTTGATCACATTTTCTTTTCCTCATAACCTATCATGAAAAACATTTTCATTTTGGTTACTAGATTTAGGTCTGTTTTGAACTAAAAACTACAAAGATGAAAGGCAACATTTAAGATTAGATAAAATGCTGAACAGTGTTGGATATCTGCTTCTATCTCGTAATTGTTGTCTCCAGTTACAGCTTCTATTTAAAATGGGTATTAAATATTTTGTTTTTTTCTTCTCTCCTTCCTAGGCTGTACCTCAGGTCATTGATATTTAATTCTGGCTTTTATACTTGGTAAAAAGTCTGTTCAGACTCATTGAGTTTATGGCCTCTTTTGTTTTTGTGTGTTCCTCTTATGGAATATACTTATTCTGGTTATGAATGGGTTTGACCTTTCATTTATGACAAATATTCTTTCTGTGCTTTTTTCAGTGACTTACATTTTGCCAGTAAGGCTTCCATTTTTCTCTCTTATATACTGTTTTTCCTATAGAATAAATGTACTCAGCAGGCAACAAATTGATCTAGATCTACTAAAGTTCTCCTTGCCTTTCTTTTTTTACTTAAAAGAATGGGTATAGTAAAATCCAGGCTACCTAGCTGACAAGCTCCCCAGGCAGTCTATGATAAACACAAAAATAATCAATTTATTAAGCTGTTTTGCTGAATAAAACTGGTTCTAAAGGAGGCAGGGGTCAAGTCACTTGTCTCATATATTACAGTGGCTCTCTGCATCCCCGAAACGCCTTCCTTCAGTAAGCAGAGTGCTTGAGTGCATCCCTTTTGACCTGCTGATATGTAGATCACAACATCTGATGCTTCCTGGAATTGCCGATTACTGTAACTGCTGCCCATCTGTCAATGAAGGAGCAGTTTCAGAACTCAGACTTGGGGGAGGAAAAGTAATTAATGGTATGTACCTTTAAGAACCCCCTCATACATAAAATAGTTTCTCTGATACTTTGGTCCATATGCACATGTGAAGAAAAAAAACTCAGAAGAGTCTTCATAGTTTGTTGGGAGGGATGTGTAAAATATGGCAAAGGACAACTAGGGATAAATGTTGTGGAGTTTTTAAAAAGTGATTTCAGTCCAGGGCTCTGAAAATATTTTATAACATGTATAACATTTCAGGAGATTGTATGGGTTCTTGAGTCAGGCTTACATTAGATTACATTCCTGGCCCTAAAATTGGTTAATTAAAAACAAGACCAGATAATTTACTTTCCTTTGTATAGTACCAGATATATTTATTTGGAAGTTCTTTGCTTTATTTGCAAAGGAACATCAAATTCAAAGTTACTTGAATGGCTACTTGGCACCTAATAAAAATTCATTAAAAATACTAAATTTTTAATTCAAATCTGAGTCTTATATTTGTTTTTTTCCACAAAATTTTTTAATTAACAAAACTGACCTTTCTCCAAGGGTTTAACATCCCTCCCTTTCTAGGCTCAAATATTAGTTTTTCAGAAATAGCCAGGAAGATTTACACTCTTGGGCAAGAGGTAATTAATGTTCTTGGCTACTGAACCAGAACTACTATTTATAAAACTTCAATGGGAGCTAGAAAAAACTCAGTACAGAGTTCATTTTTCTCCCCAAACATACCAGGTGATGTTTTAGGTATTTTATATGCAGTAGTGGGAAATATGTATGTAGGTTCTTAAATAAGATGATGCATAATATGAGTTTTCATTGGCATAAAAATATAGCAGATAGGTAGCAGATCTATTATTTGTACTATTTACGTTTTTTTTTTAACTAGCCTTGCCAAATACCTTTGAATGAAGCCAATAAATGTAAGCCTGGATTACTAAAACTATTTGCCACACAGAAAGATATCGCTTGCCTGTGTGTGTGAACATTTATTTTTCCTTTTAAATGAGCCTGTGTTAATGTGCTTGTTAACATTAAGGTATTGGGATACTTTAAATATCACCTGGTAACTTGCTTACCCAGATGAGGTAAGCTTTGCAGTAAATGAATAGGAAGACTAATGGCTTTTTATATATGCCTACAGTATTTTAGTGGAAATGTGTATAAGCAGGAACATTTTTTATTAATAAGGCTGCTTCAAATGTTTTGGGGGCTATGGGGCATGTTGGCTAGGCAGTTAATAGTAGTGTAATGTTCCATAAAACAGTTTCATGAACTATATGTGACAATGATATGAGATTAAAGTGATCTTGTTTCTAGCTTAGTCCTGCATAATTGACTATTGCTCATCTTTACAGAGACCTGTTTAGCCAAAATTGACACTTAGAAAAAAAATGCATGGTATATGCTCAAGTTTATCCTACTTCTATTAGTATTTGAGGTTAATTAAGTTGAAAGGCAGCTGTCTGGGTTTAAATCCCAGGTCCACCTCTGTATAAAACAACTGTATCTCAGTTTCTACATGGGGATAATCACAGTACCTACATTATTATATTGTTACGAACTGCAAATAAATGTGTAGAATGCTTAATAAGTGCTATATGGTGAGAGAGCTGTCACCAAAAAATGAAAGAACTTGCTTGTTGAAAATAGGTGACAACGTGAATTATAAAAATGGTGTTATGGTTTTTGTTTTTCCTTTTTAGGAAGTTATAGAATTAACCAAAGATCTTCTGTCAACTCAACCTTCAGAAACTCTTGCAAGTTCAGACTGTTTTGCTTCTGCTCAGCCTACTCATTCATGGAAAGTAGGGGACAAGTGTATGGCAGTCTGGAGTGAAGATGGACAGTAAGTGTAGAAAAAAACTAACTATAACATGAAATAATAAAATACAATGGTAAGATGTTTTTATTCAGTTTAAACTACCCTATTTTAATCTTTCTATATAGCCAATATGGTTAATAGAGCCAATTTGATTCTTGGGTGGTTACGATTAATACAATTTTATTTTTAGCTTTGCATTACGTTTTGGGGCAGAAGAATGGCTAGGATTCTAGAGAAAAGAAAAACTAAAAGCAGAGGAAAATGAATGGATATTTTAAAAAAAATCTAAATTCTTTTTTCCTCAACTTGAAAATTGAGTGAATGGTTGGCTATCTTAGATGTCTGTGAAGTACATGCACTGAAATTCCTATAAGAAATATCTTTTGTGAAAGAGATTGAGTAAAGCACATTTAGTAGACATGCAGGAGACTTCCCTGGCAGCATTGATTAGGACTTCCTTTTAGGATAGCAGATGGCTAACTCCAGGTACTCTTCTGCATTAACTTTGTCTAAGGTCTATTTGATTATAGAACTTCCGTTTTAGACACATGTAATTGTTGAATCACTGCAGTATAAGTCTTGTAGGCTGAGTATTAAACCTTTACTCACCTGCTTACAGCCATGATATCTTTACAGGTGTTATGAAGCGGAGATTGAGGAGATAGATGAAGAAAACGGCACCGCTGCAATCACCTTTGCTGTCTATGGCAATGCTGAAGTGACTCCACTGTTGAACCTCAAGCCTGTAGAAGAAGGAAGGAAGGCAAAGGAGGACAGTGGCAGCAAACCCATGTCAAAGTAAGTAACTTTTTAGCATTTCAAGTGTAATCTTTCCCAACTAGGTATTTGAGGTGGATGCAGAATCTATGCAGGTTAGTTTAGGTAAGAAGATTATAATACTATTTACCATTATTTTGAAAATTAGCAATATAAGGTCATTCATTCTCTATATTTGTATGCTTAGGTAAGGTATGGACAGTGGGGTTCCCATTTAGGCATTTAATAAATATTTCTTAAGCAGATACTATGTATACTATCAGTAACCCAGATGCTGGGGTTCCACCACAGTGAAGACCAATGTGGGCTTTGCCCTGACTGAGTTTCTTTATTTTTATTTTATTTTATTTTTTAAGATTGTATTTATTGTTAGAGAGAGGGGAAGGGAGGGAGAAAGAGAAGGAGAGAAACATCAGTGTGTGGTTGTCTCTCACTTGGCCCCCACTGAGGACCCGGCCTGCAACCCAGGCATGTGCCCTGACTGGGAATTGAACCAGTGACCATTTGGTTCACAGCCTGCACTCAATACAGTAAGCTGTACCAGCCAGGGCCTGACTGATTTGATAGTCTAGATAACAAAATATCTAAAGAAGAACTTCAATAGTAAAGTATAGAAGTTATGAAGGAAACACAATGGTTACTTTAAGGAAACAAAACAAACAAGGTCCCTAAACTGCACCTAGTCATTAGAACAAATATCTTTGAGAAAATGACATCTACACTTGAGAGATCTGAAAAGGAGTTAGAAGCTCAAGACCTAAAAGATACGACTTTGAGCAAGCTGCTTATCTTGTTTACTTATCTGTACATCAGAGACAATAGTATCTACATGATCGGCTTGTGAAGATTAAATAGCATTAGTAAAGCGTGCAGCATTATTCTTGACAAGTAGTAAGATCTCAATAATGTTTACTTTTAAAAAGGAAAATAAGGTGGGAACACAGAGGTAACAAATTCCTATGGTGAAAACTTGGGGCTTGAGGATGGGTGGTTTGACAAGAGAAGTGGTTAGAGAGGTAGCGGCCAAATGATAAAAAGCTTGAAAGCCACTGCCGTGCTTTGGGTAGAGGAGATGTGACGTGATCAGGTTGGAGCTTTCCATTGATCACTGGCAGCAGAGAGATGGTTGTTACTGCTGTAATCCCCAGGTGTAGATGGTGGCCTGAACCCAGGGAGTAGTTGAGTGAAGGTGGGAAAGTGTACAGTTTGACAGGTATTCAGGAGGCAGAATTAACAATATTGTGGTTAAATTCTGCATATATGCCACAATTGGCTGTCTTTTGGATTTATCAAAAGATTTCAAAACTTAAGTTGCTACATAAATATATTTGAATTTATGAAAATTGTTGCCTATTAGAATAACATTTGGTTAAGGACCCCAGTAAGAAAATCAGATTGTAGAAGAACATAACATCTCCATGTTAATTTTTTGATATCTGTAAAAAGTCACACTTAGTTTCATAGTGATGAATATATGATTCAAAGGAATCTAGATCTTACTGCCTTTTTAAAAAAAAAAAAGATTGTAGTTTTAGAGAGAGGGGAAGGGAAGGAGAAAGAAAGGGAGAGAAGCATCAATGTGTTGCTTCTTGCACATCCCCTACTGGGGACCTGGCCAGCAACCCAAGTGTGGGCCCTGGCTGAGAATCAAACTGGTGACCCTTTGTTTTTCAGGCCAGCACTCAGTCCACTGAGCCACATCAGCCAGGGCTTATTGCCTATTTTTACAGACCTCTTTCTTCGTCCTTTTTTGTTGAGAAGTCAGTTGACTGAGCAGACTTATTGTGAGAGCTTTAGGGTCTGATCTTATTTATTGTTTTTGGAAAACCCCAGTTTTTAAGAATTGTTAGCTGTGATTTCCTTTTGTGCTGCTGTGCTCTTCCAATCTAAGTGAAATTAGTGTTACGTTCATCTAATCTTTGTACACTTTTTCCAGATGCAGCATTATTATACTTGCTAATTGTCCATTTAGAAATTGGTAGAAGGTTTAGACATCTGTTGACACTCATTTGTAACACACAACTGGCCAAAGCTGTGTGGCCATCAGATAAAAAGTCATAGTTGAAATATCTGCAGTGGGTAATAGATTACAGCTACTGTATTTCAGAGTTTCCAAGGGTGCTGTGTATTTCAAAAAACATTTGTTAGCACTGGGTGATTGGCACTGATGTTAGTGCTTTTTTTCATGGGGAGAAGAGTACGTAAGTTTATTAGTTTTCTGTTTTTGTTTTTGTTTTGTTTTTTACTTCTAAATATACCCAAGGAAGTCATCTTTTAAATCTTAAGAATTAACGTTTAGTTGTTATTTCCACACAGAAAAGAAATGATTGCCCAGCAGCGTGAATATAAAAAGAAGAAAGCTTTGAAAAAAGCACAGAGAATAAAAGAACTTGAGCAGGAGAGAGAGGACCAGAAAGTGAAATGGCAACAGTTTAACAACAGAGCCTATTCTAAAAACAAAAAAGGCCAGGTTAGTAAATCCTTTCATCATACTTGATAAATTTGAAAAGTGCAACTGTCATTAAAATAGCTTTAAAATGAAGAAGGAGGTACATAGATTTTTAAAAATACCATAACTGGATCTTAAATTCAGAATCCTCTTCAATCTTCAGTTTAGCTCATTGAAAAAAATCTTCATTAGCCACTGTCTGCAGTAGAAACACTATGAATGAGTTTATATCAAGAATTACAAAAGATCTAGTTTTTTTTTTAATCTGTAAACTAAAATTTGAAAAATTATTTGCTGTCTTACCACTTAGAAGGGAGTGTGTTGAACCATACCTGCTCTGTACATGCCTTATGCTGGACATCACTGGTAGATTTTATTTAAAAGAGCACTCAGGTTCCCTTGATACACTTTTTCTTCTAACTGTATTTTGCAATTTTTATTGCTTCCAAAACTAATCAAGAATGATTTCTATTTTGTTTCCCTAGGTAAAGCGGAGTATTTTTGCTTCACCTGAGAGTGTAACTGGCAAAGTTGGAGTAGGAACTTGTGGAATTGCTGATAAACCTATGACACAGTATCAAGATACCTCTAAATATAATGTCAGGCATTTGATGCCTCAATAATCAGAAAAACTGTTGGATTTCATCTCTGCAGGGCTTTACATTTACCTTTTTATCCTTATATTTTTCTAAAGGTAAATTATTTGTTAGATGAGTAAGGAAGATACCTTGTCATTGTTTGACTTCAATAGAATGAAACTTGAAGAAATTGCATATTTGATAACTGCTATTCATTTAACTTTCTTAATTACTACTACCACCACCACGGTTTCCTCCAAGCTCGTTGGGTAGAGCAACTCTTCTAGACAGATGGTGCTTAAATAAAGCACTTAAATGAATTGTTGATCTTCCTAATATCGCCCCCACTTACCTGATGTCATATGCTTTTTGTAAAGTCCTAACCTGAAACTTTCAGAATCTTTGAACTTGCCACATATTCTAGCAATTCAGTGGAACATCAAGCAAAACACCAAACTTCCACAGAGATCTTTTTTTTTTTCCTTAAACTTAGCTGTTGGCCAGTTAAACCTAAAAATAGATTAATTTGTAAATGGTAAAGTCTGTTTTGAGGCTTTTCCTTCTATAACTTGTTTCCCAAGCCATCTCTAAAATTGATCCAGCTCTTTTATTCTTTTTTATTGAGTTTTAGTTTTACGTAAGAAACCACATTTAGGACCAGCTGCCTTTTCTAATGTCCCTCTCTCTCTCTCCCTCTCTCCCCCTCTCCCCCCCGCCCCTCCCTCACCTGCTTCCCCCCACCCCCTCTTTCTTTTTTGTATGTTTGCTCTTTTCCTGTGTAGTGGTACCATTTTTTCGGATGTGAAATGTTTATATGAGAAAACAAAAAGCTGATGTATAGCCCTGTATACAGTGTAGATACTATTTTTGTAAAAAAAAAAACAAAAAACCATAAACCAAGGCTAAATTAATGAACAAGAGTACTGAATGTTTCGTCATTAAAAATTTACTGTATTTCTTGTGCATTAATCTGACCATAATTTCCCCTGTACATTATGTTCATGTTAGCTGAATTTGGAATTTTTGTTAACTAGATCAAGTTGTCAGCATTTGCTGGTGTGAGTGAACATCACAGTTATCTCGAGTTGAGTTTAAGCCAAATACATGCGTAGAAAAGGATCTTCTATTAATGGAAGATGGTGATTTTTAGGATGTGTTCATTTCAGTTTTTGTATGTTTAACTTTTATTAAATAAAATGCTTTAAAATCCTCCAGGGTGTGTCCTCAGAAAGGTAAAGGCTTAGCTGCCAGCATTGATAATGATTAAGCCTCAGTGTACTTGCATACATCATTTCCACAGAAGAGAATGAGTATGATAAAAGATTTCAATAAACCCTTTTGTACTCCTCTTCCATTAGCCATAAGAAATTGGATTCTGAAGGTTAAACCAGTTTTATTTCAAGGACTTGAGCTTTGTATAGAGTTGGTAACTTTTTGGTAAAAGGGGAAGAATTTTTTATTTCATGAATTTTAATTTTTTGGTAAATTGAAACTTTCATGGGGATAGTGGTGAGAGGTAGAATTTTTCATCGTGCTCCTTTACCCGCCAACCCAGGAGATTACTTTTACTTCCTTTAACTTATGGCCACAGGGATAGAATAAAAGGTGAAGTGTGTTTTAAATACAAGGTCCAAATTACAGTAAAAAAAATAGGCCACTTAGCCCGAAAAACTTACTAAATATACTAATGTTCTTGTTACTAGTTGTATTATGCTAATAATAATATCCTTGAAGGATTGCAATGGAACCCTTTTAATTAAAAAGTACAGGACAGACATTTGGTATAATTGAGTGACCACCCAAAATGGGTTTTGGTGAGATCACTTTAGTATGCTTGTCATTCACCTGGTGCTTGTGTGTTAAGACTTGTACCTTGTTTGACCCTATGGACTTTTTCTGCATATTCATTTTTTTTGGAGGGTTTGCAGTAGGACAAGAAGGAGTAAAGGTGATCATATTCTGTGACATTTAAAAAAATAGGCATATACACATTGAGATCAGGAGCCTTTGTGTCAAAGACATAGTGTCAGGATGATAGTGTCTCTGGAATAAAAAGTTAGGATGCCTGGGGTGATAGACTACCTGTCTTGTGTTGAAGTTGAGAAGATGCTTAATGAGAAGCATCTTATACCAATAGTATCTTAGAAATGAAGGTGGTTAAACTCTCAGTGTTCTGAAACCAGGTATAACACTTGGTCTTACGAAGTTTAGAGTTCTGGTAAGAAAGGAGACTAGATAAGCTTGGTGACTGACAGATCCAATGGTTAGTCACTTAGGGCCCCCAAATAGCTATGATTGCATGCATCTTTTCAAAACTTGACATTTGATTTTGTTATTGAAGAGTTCAAGGAAAGAACAGTCCTACCACCCCAAAATAAACAATTTAAAATTGTATTAATCACAGATAACGTGCTTTTAAAATTAACATGTAGAAAGGTCATATTAGCAAGGATTTGAGCCGTACTGCTGTGTTTGAATCCTGGCTCCCTTATTACCTGTGTGCCTAACTCCTCGCTGCTTCATTTTTCTCAGCTGTAAAATGAATAATTCATTCCTGTTTCATTGTTGTAAGGATGAGTGAGTTAATATGTGTAAGTGCTTAGTAGAGTACCTGGCATATGGTAAGCACTATAAAAGTGTTGACTGTTACTGTGCAGAGTGGTAATGGTGAATTTGTGATTTTTTTTTCCTTAATTTGAACAGTGATTCATATTAAAATGAGTAATACCCATTGTTTACAATTTGTGGCCCCTAATTATAAACATTACTGAAATGTCAAATTACCAAACTTGTAAGTAGTATAGCCTAGTAAAGTTTAAAAATTTTGTATGAGAATATCTTAGGGCACAATTCTTAATGGGAAGGGAGTACAGGTTATTACTTGTTTAAGAAATAGGGATTCCTAGGTACTACCCCAGACCTGTCTAAGCTAAGGTATAGCTTTCACTCCACAGGTGATTCTGATGTGCATTCCTGGCTGAGATCCACGTTTTGGGGTAGACAAGTGTGGGCAAAAGTAGGTTTACTGTGCCATTGTGGCATTCTGAGTTAATAAAGCTATTGTAATAATCATAATTTGTATGTCTTTTTCCATACACACTAAACTTACTTTTGCCCACCCCATATAAGTGTTTAATTTTTGAAAGGAAGGAAAAATTTCCTTAAGTGGCAGTTTTCTTAGCCCCAATTATGAAGACTAGGCATTAAATTAAAATGAAATGCATCCGTTTATTGTAACTCATTTAAAAAAAACTTGTTTTTCACACAAGGGTGTCCATGTTTCCATCACAATGCAGTTTTAACGAGTGTGTTCGCCTTTAATAAAGCAAAGGAAAACAATCAGGTAACAAAGGGAAACCATAGTTTTTTGTAAATTGTGTCTGTAGATTGTAATTATAAAAAGTGATAAATAATCATTTGCAAATTCAGCCAAAAATATTTTTAAAGCTTTGACTCTGCTTTAATTTGGATATTAAATGAAAGTTAATTAAAACTAAAGTTTTACAGTTAAACCTTGAGTTCGATAAATGCCTGACCAATTTGTGTTAAATATACTATGAAGCAACCAATCACTATAAATGGTAATTTACAAAGTAAATGTGAACATTCTTTAGGATTTTTGAGTTGCAAGCTAAACTGAATTTTTACTGCAGTGGAGAAGAGCATAGCAGGCAAAATAACAGGTAATACAGTAGTTGAAATGAACGGAAACCCAAGTAACTAAATCTCCTTATACTATATTTAAAAAGCATATCTGTGTATACATATGTTCTTAGGTTCAGAAACCAATATTGACATGCTAAGAATTTGTTTTAGCCTGGCTGAAAATAAATAGTAAAAGCATAAGATGGAAAGTGTTAGGTTTCTGTGAAGTTCTTCAATATGCCTTTTCTGCCTTTCAGCTTATACATACAGAGGTGGTTCTTTAGTGGCCTTTCAGTGGAATAAAGCAGCTCTGAGAGGAACACTGGGCTTGTGGTAGTTGACAGTTCAACTAGCTAAAAATATCTAATTACAGATACTTATCTTTCAGTTCCCAGGATATAAAAACTGATAATTTACTTCCACCAAACACCTCACCAGTTCATTTTTATGAAAGCAGAGCAGACTTGTTACTGGATATATTAAAATTATAATTTATAACCTCAATCTTTAAGAGCATAGCTGAAGCCATGGTTATACTCATTATGAGAAAAGGTTTGCCTTTTGTTAGAAGGGCTCTTTTTCAGCCTGGGGCCAAAAGTCCATTGCTGTCTCATGACTTCCCTTTCTCAGTGAAACTGATGTGCCTTTTGTTTCTTCCCCCCATTTCAAGCCCGTACTCATTTTAGCAAGATGCAGTATATTTCTGACCAGAGAAATAGAATTTAGGCTTGGAGGAAACGCTGGACTCTTTTAAGTCCTTGGAAAACTAAGTGTTGAAGCCTGAGAGCTGTAGCTAGGCTAGTCTTTAATAGATGGTAATTGTCCAATTGTTCATTACTCAAAAGTATGCAGGAAGCAAGAGTAAGTATCCCTTTGGTTCCTTTTGCCCAGTTTTGCCCTCCTAAAGTACTGTCAGGTTTAGTTGGCCTAGCTTTCAAAGTGTAATAAAGCTGGTAACTTAGAAGAAACCAATGACTTAAATTTGTAGTATTTATATACACTTTACAGACATGTGTGGTTTTGTTTTCACAGTGCTATTCTGTGCCTTGGTTTGAAATCTAAAATGTCCCAGCTATTGGGTTGGCCAAAAAGTTTTAGTTTTTCATTACAATGGCTACGTAAGTGCTTAGTTGTCTTTAACTTGGAAACAATTTTGTTAGAATGTATTGCGATAGCTGTCATATCAGTGTGTTTAAAAAAAACCACATCAAAATTGATGAATTTCTGTGCAGCCATTTTAATATTTAAGATGGAAGAAAATACACAACTTTTTGGCATACTATGCTTATTTCAAGAAAGGTGAAAATGCAACTGAAATGGAAAAAAAGATTTATGTGATGTATGGGGAACGTGCTGTGACTGATTGAACATGTCAAAAGTGGTTTGCAAAGTTTTTTGGTACTATTGACATTTTGGCCAAATAATTCTTTGCTGTGGGGCTGTCTCAGGCATTAGAAGATGTTCAGAGCACCAATGGCCTCTACACAACTAGAAGCCAATAGCGGGAGATAGCTAACACACAATACACAAATGAATAAAGTTACTGGTGAAAATGAAAAAAAAATGTGTCTTATTTTACATAAAGTAAAAGGACCTTTTGGCCAACCCAATATTGCCCTATCAATACAGACTTTAAGCATTCTTCCATAGCTCAGGGATTGAGGAAATGAAGAAAACTGCAAAATTCTAGGAAATTAGCTGGCTATTTTAAAAGAGCTTCATTTAAAGCCATTTCCCTTGATAACGTATGATTCTATATCAAGGTAAAACAGAACCAAGAAAGTTGTCAGCCAATACATATATTTTGAATTATACTGGTTGATTAAAATAATCAGATGTATTCCACAAGAAAACTGGTTTCCTGTTAGATCTGGTACATCAGCCAGGAAGATTCCCCCCCTTGGCAAGGTGATGAGCACTACATATTAACTGGGGCATTCAATTATTAATGGCAATGGTTACTATCAGTGAATGACATGCTCAAGCTGAGGTTAGTCCCCCCTCCCCTCTTTTAGGAAGACCAGGTAATCACTAACACCGATGATACGTCCATCTTATAAAGGCTTTATTTAAAAAATTCTATACGACATCAAACTTGACTTCTTACAAAGTATAACCTGCCATGGAATTCTGTGAAAACGAACCATTTTATTTAATAGAAAGTTGTCTTCTGCAAGACCTACAGTCAGAATAACTAAAATTCATGATCAAGGATGGGGAGATCAGAAGATTGCATTCATCAGAGAAAGTAGTACATACCTCTTAATATCATTTTGGTACTACAAACTCCTAGATTGAAGAGAGGGCAGTAATTTACATGTATCAATTTTAATCCTTACAACCTTTTGAGATAGAGGTAGTATTTATCACAACTTTTCAGGAAGAAACAGTCTCCATGAAGAAATTAACTTGCCCAGGGTCCTTAGCAAATACTAGAACTGGGAATTAAAAATGACCAAAACCCTTGTTCTTACCATCTTATGCTGTTTTTGGTAGAGAGTATGAAATTTTTTAGGTGTAAGGTAAAAGAAAAAGGCAGCTAGTTGCTCCAAGTAGAAGAAAAACTCAGCAGAAAACCTCTCCTAAGGGGCTAAACAATTTTCTCATTAGAAATGACCCAGGAAGCTGTGTGGAGCTTTGCCTCAATAACCATCACTAAAAATGCCTTCATAATCCTAAAAGCTATCACTGTCACTGGGAGAGTTACAGCTTTTCTAGTCAGAAACTAACAATGACATCATCTGCATCTTTGGTAATATGCGCTGGGATAGGATTTACCTGTACCATCACTCAGGTGTTTTACATACAGGGTACCTTAGGTCAGGCCAGTTGGGACTAAACAGGAACTTCAAACTTGTTTTCAATATGAATATGTGCTACACCAAAGGGATCCCTTAAAAGTATTTGGAGAACAGGCAATGACAAATGGCTCTGTGTCCTACCTGAAGCAGTTACAGATTCCCACATAGAGTAAACCATGTGCAGTTATGTTAGGAAGAGTTATCAAGAAAGCACCTGTTTCAGTTGTAGAACTGACGAAGATTCAAATTGCTGTTAGTTCTGGACTACTGAAGTATCAACACAGACATGTAGGTGACAGTTGCCTCTCAAAGTGTGGATGCTTGTTTATATTTTTTTTCCTTCACAGAGAAGGGGGGTACAAAAAGCACTCAGGTATTCTTCGTTCACAATTTTTATTTCTTGCAATTAACGTGTATCTTCAAAGTCGATTTGTCTTTTAAAAAATACTTCTTACTCATACAATCCACCTCCCCTCCCCCAAGTAAAACCAACCCAGGGAAGGAGTAATTTAGGGGGCAGTTGAAATAGGTACTCTAGGTGTGTGACAAAGGCTTCTCAGCCCACCATCCAATACATATACAACAAAATGGCAGCACCTCAAGTTCACCTGAATGAAGTCCCAGTTCCAGCCCGAGGCAAGTGATGCAAGTGAATGCCGTGGGGATAACAAAATGGAAGCTTAGCCACTGGCTTCTGCTTACTTTCCATGGTAGTTAGCAGAGTCTTCAAACTGTCTTATACTTGGGAAAGTCAAAGTAAGCAACTACAATATAGAGAGCAATATTTTGACCCAGCCAAGAGCAATTTTAAATGAAACCAGAAATAATTTACCTGGGCCACAGAAATCAATTTATGATTTCCCTTAAGTCTCCAGCACCTGAAGTAGCAAGTTCTAATAATGGGCTTCTAAAGGCATGCAGTTTTTCACACATCTACTTCAAAGAATTTCTTCCACTCAAACATAGCACAATCAAGGATAAAATTTCTGGAGGCACAGGAAGAGCACAAGAACAAGTAAGTATATGCTGAGGCATTGTGTATGATCAAGATGGTACACTTCATATATAGAAGCAGTGAACGTTGTTAAAGTGCTACTTACAAAGGATAGTCTGACATTACACACACAACTCAACTGCACTGCTAAATAAGGTTGTCTTTATTTTCTTTTTCCTTGCCCAGCCCTATCTAAACAAAATAAAACTACAGGACTGAAATTAACAACCCATTAAAATCAGCAATAAGTTATGAAAACCATAAAGCTTTTTTTTTTTAAGTAATTAAGGGTAGTTAAATTATTTAAAGTATACAAAGTTCAAAGAGCCAGGGGTAAGGTCTCCAAGAAGGCTTCCTGGGGTAAGGGAGAGAGGAGAGAGCAAGGGGAAAACTTGGGAATTTGAAAGACAAAGGGAATACATGACATCAAAGTGCAGGCTAGAAATTTTGCTTAAAATAACGTTTATGAAAATATTAATAAGAGCAACCATAGCACCTGCACAGTGGGACTGTGAGGAAGGAGAGAGACTGCCTGTAGAAAAACAGGAGCAAATCTTTACATTAAAATGAGACAAGTGCGGAACTTAACTATGTTAACTATGATAGTGTGTCTACTATAGATATGAAATGGTTAAAAGCTGGTAAAAGATAATGATTATAAAAGAAAACAAAAACAGCATTGACCTTTTTTCTACCTAGCCCAAACCTCATTCATTTTGTGCACTATAAAGAGTGAGGTGTGAGGGGTTTTATCATTATCAAATGCTGCATCAAAATAGATGATTTTTTTCCCCACATTTTTCCACTACAAAAGACATCTATGTTTTTTATGGACAAGCTTTAAAAAGATGTCATTTTGGTTTTCAACACATACAAACAGTTATCAAAATCTGAAATAAAAATGCTGCTGTGGCTCAGACCTTGGCCTGCTAATCTGCGTGCACAACCCTTCTGGCCCACGCAGACAAAGAGGCACGTGGAACTTTCCCTTCTGGCCCCTCGATCCGAATGCATAGGCCCTGTGTGGTAGAGGCTGCCATGCATGGACTGCCCCCATGCTGCCCAAGGGCCTCAAGGGTGGCTAACTGTGGAGCTGGCGGTTGGGTTGCTGCCCTAGTGCTAACAAGGCAGGATAAGGTTAGCTTGCTTAGCATGGAATCCAACAGAAAGCTGAGCTGCATGATGATCCCTTTCAAAAGGCTTCATGGGAGTCTCTCCTTTTGCAGAGCATGAAATGAGCTTTTATTTATTTTTTTTAATTAAAGAATTGATCATCCACAGGCTTCATGATAGGCTGGCCCAGGCTGAGTATTAATAGCTCTTTAGCTATGCAAGATTAATGCCTGATTATCTTGTCATCACTAGAGATTTGATTTTCTTTTTAGGACCATAAACTCAGGAAGGGTTCATAATCCCATCCTTAAATACATCTACACAATATACTAGGAGCAAACTAGAAAAGAAAAAAAGAATGGAATTTCCAATTTCAAATCAACAAATCAAATCAAGAAAATTTCACACAAGTTTTCTGCTGCCATTAGAAACTGTGATTTTCAAAAATAAATATTATGAATATTTGTTCTGTTGGGGAGGCTCTACCCCGCTTTTTGCTAAGTATTTGCTTAAAAAGAGGTCTTCTAACCTTTTTGTTCAAGTATGATTTTGTTTAGTTTTAAAGAGGAGACTGCATCATGAATCCAATTTAAGAGATTGTTTGGATTGAATTGGCCCAGTGAATGTTTTGCCCTGCACTGTTATATCATGCTGGGTTCTAGGAAGTGAATGAAAGTTTGACACTGGCACTGGAGTAACCCTCGTCACTCCCAATACTCTGCAGGCTGCTGTGGTCATCAATGTCACTGATGCTGGTGGTACTGATATTGTCCACTTCTCCATGGGAGAACTCTGTGCTTTCAACATCCACTTCAATCTCCTCTGCCAAAGGGGAAAAAGAAAGAACATTAGTAATCTAGCATATAGGCACTTTAAAAAACTACCAGAGGAAAAGTGATTACTTTTTATAGTATAAAATAATTGTTGAACAAACTTACTATCAGTGATGTCTAGAGAACAGAAGAAACCAAAGGTGAAGAGACACAGGGATAATTTTGCAAAAGGGAATGTCTGGTGTACAGTGGTGGTCTCAATTTAGGCAGCAAGTTTACTAAAGCCTTTGACGCCAGTCTGTCTGGACCTCCCACCAAAAAGCACTTGGCCTATTTGGGAATTAGTACTTAATATTAAAAGATCCCAACCCCAAGTGGTTTAACAACATCTGTTTTGCATTAAACTAGAAACTAATTCTTAGTGCTGTTTATTAATCAGAATTGCCTTTAAGGGGGAGAAAAGCATAAACTTAATATAGGCAAACTAGAAAATTTATCCATCTAGGCCTTTGGTAGTATCATTCTACAGACAGCTCCTCAGACTTCTAGGATTCATTAAAATGATCTTTGACTATTCAATAACCAAAATAAGCCAGTCCCTATAAAGTGGACTCTATGGGTTTGTCTTTTATTTAACTTTCTCACAATCAAATATAGCTTGAAATGATGGCCTGATGCTTAAGTCTCTGGACTGTAGTTGAGTTCTATAGTAAAGATTATATAGTAAAGGCATTTATTTCAGTGGTGGTATTTAACTTTACTTCAAAAATCAAATATGATGAAAAAAACCCTAAATACATATGACCCAGCTATCAATAGATATCTTGTTAAATAGTACATACACAATCACCAATAATAAATAAAAATCAATACACAATTAAAAAATAAAAGGCAGCTGGAAAACTGTTTTCTCCCATAACAGCCAGAATGAATTCAAGGTTCTTCAATTCTCTTAAAACAAATTCAATGCCTAATGTTTCAGACAGTTGGCACTGACTTTAAGGGTTCACACTAATCACAATTGCTTTAGGAAAAGTAAATTCTTGCTGAGCCCAAGAAGGCAGAGTAGGTTAGTTCAAAGAGCATAATTTTCAAAAGGGCTTGTTGTTTCAAAAAGTTTTAGAAATCTGTTTTTAAAATGCAGGCAGCTGTCCAAACAAGCTGTACAAATAATCCTATGAATTCATAACTATTTGTTTCATACCCATAATGCTTCACAGGCTATTTAGTGTTTCCCAGTATCAGAGAACACTTATCCAAACTATAATTGAGAAATAAAATGAAGACAGCCAATCTAATAGAGCATGCTGAACTCAATCAAAACAAACTAAAATGAGAGACTGCTCTAGCCAAATGGATTAGAGATGTTACTGAAAGTTACTGGGAAAGAAGGCTGACAGATAAGAACAAGAACAGTACTAGATAAGGTACCACCATACTGGGAATACTAAAAACAAAAACAACTATAGTGATGAAGATACACCCTCTCTAAAATTTGGAGGTGGGTAGGTACGAGGAGGAGATAAAAGCAGGAAGAGCAGTTAATCCCTGAAGACCTGACAGGATACAGAGCTAGTAAGCAGTAGAGAAAAGACTAGGATCAAAGACAACCCCCTAAAATTCAGAGGAGTATTTCTGCTACACCTCACTGTCATAAATGTAGCATGTCCTAGAGGTTCTTGCTGTTGCCTCCGGTAAAGTTCTATTCTTCAAAACTGAGTGCCACATAAAAATAAACTTTCATATAGGCAAAACAATAAAACTAATAAACCCAAGAACTCCCAATGTGTGTCAAAAGGGATCAAAAACCAATTTGAAAGGCTCCTACAGAATATAGGACATTTGAGTATTAAAAAGAAAGCCTACAATGGATTTGAATACATTCAGTACATGAAAACAAGAGTTCATAAGATAATCACAAAAAAACTGCAAAACAAAAAGCCCTATTACCTCTGGAGGTTGCCAAGGCACCAACTTATTCAGAAAACTGATAAAGCAAAACCAAGCATTTATCCCATCTTCCCTGTATTGACTTAATTTCACAGTAACCAAAAACTTCAGGAAATGCTCTTCTTTATAGAAGAAAAAGTTAAATATAAGAATAATGGAATTAGGCCCTGGCTGGCGTAGCTCAGTGGATTGAGCAAGGGCTGCGAACCAAAGTATCGCAGGTTTGATTCCCAGCCAGGGTTGCAGGCCACGGCCCCCAGCAACCGCACATTCATGTTTCTGTCTCTCTTTCTCCCTCCCTTCCCTCTCTAAAAATAAATAAGTAAATCTTAAAAAAAAAAGAATAATGGAATTAGAAAATCACTATTTTGTAATACCTAATGAAATAATGAGCAGAGCGATAATCACCAATGATTGCTAAAACTATTAAGTGAAAGGTTGATATATTTTCATAAAAGTACCCAGATGACAACACCTGAACCTACTAACCAGTGTCTTCACTAGAGTAGGACAACTAGACATACTATTGATACACCAGGAAGTGCATAGCACCACCTATGAAGTATTCTTGCCTCAAAAAAACCCCCCAAAAAACAAAACAAAAAACACCCTGAATTTAATCAAGCAACTAGATCTACCAACCAATTTACAGGAAATATGAGATACTGTTAAATGATATCATGAAGATTGAATCATCCAAATCTAAAATGTGAGAAATTCTTTAAGAAAAATGACTAAGTTCTTCAGTTTCTACAATAAATAAATGGTACTGAAAAAAAAAGTACGGAGGGAAAATTTTATAGATTAAAAAGTACTTAAAAGGCACAAATACAATGTGGTCTTTGGATTAAACATACCACTGGTAAAATGTCATTTTTGAGAAAATCTGTCATGACATTAGATAAGATCATCTGATTTATTAATTTTGTGGGATATGATAATAATCTGATTACATTTTTTAAAGTCCTATTTATTTAAGATGCATACTGAGTATTTAGGGAAAACATATGATAATGTTATCTGGGATTTGATTTAAAACATTCCAAAAACAATCATGAGGGTGAAGGTGGTGGAAAACAGATGAAATAAAAATGAAAGAATTGTTGACAGCTGTCTAAACTGAATGATGGGTACATGAGACTTCATTATTCTATTCCACTTTTGTGGATGTATGAAATTTTCCATAATAAAGTCAAAATAAATTGTGCAAAATTTTTTTCTTTTAGAAATCTTGAATTCTCAAGAATCTCATGAGCCTGATTTTCCCAAATGTAAAATTTAAAATCACCAGAGCACCTCTGGGATCTTTTATTGTGGTTTGAGGCCTGATGTAGAAGCTACAGATGAATAGATTAGTAAAATTCAAGCAATTTCTTTTTGGTTGGCTTTTCTTCTCAAATTCTGCCAAAGATAAGTGTTCTAGGACAGATGCAAAGAGAAATGAAGGGTACGGCATTTTAAAATATAGGTAAAAAAATTAATATCACCAGTATTAAGACATATCAACATCATGTATCTCCCTGACACAATAAATTGAGACGGATACAATTTCACAATATCACAATATCACTTGTTCACAAGTGACACAATATCACTTCCATGGTATTTCTTCCCCCAAATATATAACCTCAATCTAAAAATAAGAAAACATCAGCCCTGGCTGGTGTGGCTCAGTGGACTGAGCCGAGGCCTGTGAACCAAAAAGTCACTGATTCAGTTGCCAGTGAGAGCACATGCCTGGGTTGTGGGCCAGGCATTCAGTTAGGGGTGCGTGAGAGGCAACCAACTGATGTATCTCTTGCACACTGATGTTTCTCTCCCTCTCTTTCTCCCTCCCTTACCCTCTCTCTAAAAGTAAAGAAATAAAATCTTAAAAGAAAAGAAAAGAAAAGAAAAGAAAAGATCAGACAAACCCAAACTGAGCAACACTATATAAAATAATGAGCCAATGTTCTTCAAAAATATCATGGTCATGAAAGAACTGTCTAATGCAACATGAAATCCTGCCGTGGATCCTGTATCAGACCAATGATATTGATAGAAAAACTGGTGAAATTTGAGTGAGATCTATAGATTAATAGTACTGCATGAATGTTAATTTCCTGGTTTTGATAATTGCACTATGGTTATATAAGATGTTAACATTAGGGAAACCTAGGTGAAGGTTATATGCATATGAGAACTCTAATTTTCTGCAGAAATCTTACAACTTTTCTCCAAGTATAAAACTCTTTCAAAGTATAAAATTAAAATATATATATATAATCAATAAAAAAAGTTCTATAGTTCACATGGGCATTATTAGACAATGTTGTGATTGCATAAAACCTAGAATGTTACAGTGTTGGCCAAAGAGAAAAAAGCAAATATAGTGCCTCCAAACCTACCCTCCCTAAATCCAGATACAGGGGTTCTTAGTATTTCATTAGGTCAGAAGCACACTGCCTACCTCGCTCTGAATCAGAGCGATCTGAAGAAATAGTTGATCCGATGCTGTCCATTCGTATTCGTTCCATCTCCTGAGGACCCTGGAGCTGTTCCAGTCGCCGCTTCAAAAATCTCTGTTCTCTTTCCAAGTTCTCTAGCTGGTGCTGGCTCTTCCTTTCAGCTTCTTCAAGTTTCTAAAATGAGATTTAGGCTCGTGTATAGTCCAGTACAAACAGTAAAACTGATTTTTACCTAACATCTCAAAAGATTTCTTTGGCAAACATGAATGAATATACAAGTATGAGGAGGGACCCCAAAAAACCTGGAATTTATTTATAAAAAATTGTGTATTTATTCTTACATGTTTAAACTTTAATCACTTTTAAAGTACTCTCCATTTGATGCAATACAGTTTTTGAACTCATTGATTTTGATGCCTTTAAGTGTTTCTACTGTGTTTTGTTTCACCTCTTCCACATCAGCAAAATGTTTCCCTATGAGGACTTTTTTCATCCAGGGAAACAAAAAAAAAGTTGCTGGGGGCCAGATCAGGTAAATAGAGAGGGTGGGGCATGAGGGTCATGCCTTTTGGGGTCAAAAACTGCTAAACAATCAGCACAGTGTAGGCAGGTACACTCCCATCACCCATCATGAAACAGGCAAATTAATTGAGTCTCCCCCCAAAAATTCACTGATGTAGAACACAGCCTCTCACAACAATGCCAGTTGGTACACTGATACAGATGGGTTACTAGAACACTCACCGAGTGGGGGTAGCCTGTTAGTACAAAGGGTCTGCCCTCCAAAAGATAACTTGTTTTTTGGGGGTACCCCCCACATATATGTGTATGTGCATATAAAAACATACATAAATACATATTTTAAACATCAAAAATAGCTTTTCTTCACTTTTTTGTGTATAATGAATGTCACATTACTAGAACAGTGAGGAATTCCCAAAGTCTGTAAAGTTATCTCCAGGAAAGAGAACTTGCTCTGCAGTGTAGTGTGATGGAAAAACACTAAGGGACCCAGCCAGATGAAGTCATCTCCACCAGAGGGCACAACTGCCTTGTCTCTGGGTATCATCAGAGTAATTGTTATTTTTTCTAGTCTTCCCAGCTCTTCAAATGACCATGCTGTCAAAACAATTCAGTTTGAGCAGGCTATGTTGCTCCCTCCCATCGGATTAGCTGACAAGTTTTTGGATTTCTCTTGAGTTAGTTTTTAAGGAGGGCCCTGGTGAGCTAGGTGATGTATATGAATAGGAATCATTGCTTCTAATGAAACCAAGACTGAAAGAATCATGGGCAAACATGAAAGTTAAAATTCTCACCTTGATGTGTGCTTTGGCTTTGTTGAGCAAACCAAGTGTTGTATGCCTGGTGCAGTCTGGTCCTAGTGGAATCAAAACTTTTAAGCGTTCTAAACACAGGCGCAGATGAGCTCGTCTAAGACAAAAAAGTCAAATCAGTCTGGATAGTCCACTAGAAACATCCTAAAACCTATTTTAAGACAAATAACAATTTGTACATTATTTAGTCTATTACCATGTGACATCCCTACTTCTTCCTTATCTGCAAGTGCAGGCATGCCCACTGATTTTCAGCCTGCCATTTCTGTGCGCCCTACAGCTACCGATCACTTCAGAGTAGTATCGCCAGTGGTAATCTCTGTCAGAGATGATTTAATTTGAACCCACCCCATAAACTATCTCAAATGGAAGTAGGAAAGCATACTAGGGCACTTGTATTTGATTCTGAATGCCTAGAACTGCAGGCTAGAATACAGGTTTTCAGCTAGGGTACCCCCAAGTAGAGTTATTGAACGCAAGATTTCCATTCCCCCCCTTCCATCTTTTACACACACACACACAGCCATCCTACAGTGTTACATGTTATTATGTATCAGGTGGAACCATATCAAATTTATGATATTCAACCATTTCTCACTTATAAAAATGACAACTTCATGAGAACCAACATAATAAAAACAGCAAAATTCTGGGACCAGCTAGGAAAATAGGATTAGGCAAAATACATGGGTCTGTGATCAATTCTAGCCACTGAAACCACAATCTATAAAACAGCCCCTTGCTTCCTAATATCTAAGTGTACCAATTCATTGGTTTTTGATTTTTATTTGTCTCTCTCCCTCTCCACTCTCTTATATATGGGAAAAAGCCAGGTGAAAAATTCTTTACTGAAAGTCATTGCATTCTTTAATCTACCTATCCTGTGGGCAAGTTAGGGGAAATTTCTCCTGGAAATGCTAGCAGGCAGCCTTATGGATTTACCTTCCCTGTACCCTAAAGGAACTATGATCACCATGATGAGAGTTCTGGGCACATAATTCCACCATAAAACAATATTAGTCCACATCTTTGTACCTGTGTTTCATAAGGTATAACATAATTCAGAACAATATATCTGAAAACAATGTTCACAAATGCATTCCTAGTTTACCCCTACTTCTTAAAGAGCTATAACTGAACATTTAACAACTGTCTCAAATGTACCAGGAACAAACACATCTTCCACTTTTTCCTCAAAGGGGGCCAAAATAGTTTCATTAGCTTACTCACCAAACTATGCTTTCTCTGGCTTAATACACATTAAATAATATGAAGTGAAATTCTCAAATGCTAGCATTCTGAAAGAGGGGTATACAAGCAAGGATGATTAAAGGTAGTAAAATCAGAGATTTGGCTAATGAATCATTAAGATTCTTCTAGTATCCACTAGCCTAGCTATAAAGGTCTGTTAGTATTTCCACTCCAAATCTACTGAGTTCAATAATTCAACTCTAATAATTAGCTCCAGGCTGAAACCTGACATACCTGATGTGGATAAAAGAGTTTTTTATTTTCCCTAAATCAACAGATTCCCCTTACTGTGATTTCATAATTAAAAAGTTGCTTTCCTCCCCTGCTGTGCTACCTCAAATCACAGACCCTTTAACAAAATATTCATTTTTAACTGGAAAACCTTTTAGGTGAGGTCTCTCACGTGATCACAGAGTGCGTGCTCTTGCTGAGCAGACTAAAAACAAAAGAAAACCCACAGTAAAAAATGCCCTTAAACTCTTCATTAGGATTATTATAGCATATACCTAACAACTGCACTGATGACATGACTGGAGGTTGGAGAGAATTACTGCTGCCTTGGGAGCCTTGCTAATAATTAGAGGCCCCCAAGGGGCTCTGACTTAAGTCATCTAAAAAGGTTAACAAAGCAACTAACTGGCAAAGTTAACAAGTATGTTGGCACAATAACAACTTGCCAATTTTGTTTAAATTGCTCTAAACAAAAAATTCAGTGTATATATAGGAAATACTTTTTAGTTTAAGAGACTTCACAATGATATCTTTACATCATGGAAAAAATGGGTGGGTCAATTTTCTATTTTGTGAGACATAAGTTAAAGTCATTAAAATCTGGGCAGAAATCGACTAACAATGTTAAAATGTCTACATTCTCTCTCTTTCTCTCTTTTAATCATGCAGTTGTATACTTATTAGATGACTTTTGTATACTCAGCAATGTACCAGATGCTTGCTTGAGTGGGAGACGTAAAAAAAAAAAAAGTAAACTTTAAGACTGGATAATCTAGACTGGAGAACAGAATATACTGTTTTGTTTCATTTGGTTCATAATGAAATGAGTCATACAGATAGCAAGGGCAACAGAATCTGAATAAAAAAGAGATTGTAATTGGAGGAGGTAGACCTAAAAGGCTGAAACTTGACTTTGGACTTTGGGGATATTGAATTTGTCTATGAAAAAGCAAGGCTCTTCAAGGTAATTAAAAGAAGAGTAAAGAGTTCAAGTTCATATTTGGGACCAAGTGTAAACCTAAAACCTAAAATACCTTAGTTTTTTCATTCAAGGGAAAGCAACTGACTCGGAATTCTATAAAAAATATATAAGCCAAGTTTAGCAGTCTGGGGATCTGCAGGAGCACAGTCAAACCAGGAGAGACACAGGCCAAGGGAGTGAGGCGTAAGAATGAACAAGGAAGGCAAACTATTTTTTATTAGCTACTGCCAAACATTTCTTCAGTCAAATAATTGTAAGTGTGCTCCAAGAAACAGCTTACACCAATAAAACCTATCCTGAGCTATCACGTCACACAAAGGCCAATGATGCCATTTTCTACGTTTTATAAATACAGTCCTCAAAATAGGTAACAGTACAAAGGATAAGTGGTGAATGATGTCCTCTGCCCTCCTGTGGGAAGAGGTGTATCTGTGGGAGCCAAATGTCTTTTCTTACAGTTTTTGTACTTGTAACTGAATCAGGCATTTTGAGAGTAGAATGACAAAGGGTTAATGGCAGGTGAAGGATAGCAGCTAACCAAGGGGACACCACCCACACTTTTCAAAGGTGCCATCCAAATACTGCACCCAGTTTTCCATATGTGCTTAATGCACTTAGGTACACACTTTTCGAGAGCAATGGACACCCTGTGACTGTAAACTGTATGGCAAAATTCTTCTTCCCTTACAATGGCGCTTTGCTATTCTCCACCCTTTCTCCCATAGTCTCCCTGCTGGTAACCAGATTGCAAGCTTAACCACCAACGACCTAGAAAGGCATATCTTTTGATGCCATCTGGTCCTTTCTTTTCTTGCCTTCATTATCACGTGACTGGTAGCTCAGGAGACTCCTGTACGTGTTTGACAAATCTTAGGCTGTAAGATACTGGTGGGAGAAAAGAAGACAGGAGACAGAGAAGAAAAAAGCTTGGTTTGATTTGAAAATCCTTATGTCCTGAGGGGAAAAAAAATTGCTAGTATCATATACATGATGTTTTCCAAGTTTCCAAAGAGTGGAAGAGCTGACAGACAACATGGATTCTTAGGCATGACCTACACACCTTTACAAAGCAGGGTAAGAAGGCTGGGGAAAGTTAAGGCTGCCGGGCTGATGAACACTAGGCTACTAGCAACCAAAAGAAAAAACCTGACATCGTCAAATCTATGGAACTAGACTTGATCAAAAATGAGAAAACAGTTTAGCTCCCTGGTTAGCATTTACTTACCCTTTCACAACACATGAATGGCACGATAAAAATGATAAAACTAAAGTCTGTCCTAATTTAGCACGAGGGACTGTAAAGTTAGGGTTACACACTGCAGCAGGAAGTGCCCTGTGAGAAAACTCAGTTTCCTTGCTGAGAGACAAGGAGCAAGAGAACGGAGAGATACCAAAGTACTTTTATTTTCAAAGATGCTTTGAGGTCTATTTTAAAATGAGATTTAAAAGTGGGTTTTACCCAGGGGAAGAGGCAATTCCCAGTGACTAAGCCTGTCAGAGAGAGGGTCCTATCAAAAGTACCCATACCTTCAAAAAGGGCAAGCCCCTTGTGGGAAAAGGAACAATTAGAGTCTGTTTGGCTTTCATTTTGGTAGACTAGGATCATTTTCCTCTGAGGGAACCAAAGCTGCTTTTGATTTCAAACCCTGTAAACTCTACTGCCAAACTGAAATATCACAGAACATGAGGGGAAATGATTTTGCTATTAAATGGCCCCTCCTAGTAGTTGTGACATTTTAAAGCACAGGTATATCAACTACAAGAAGCACACAGTGTTGAAGGGAAAGAAAGAATTCCCTTTCAGAGAAAAACTGCAAGTAGCACACGATGATGTTTTTCAAATCGTCTCTGGAAACTCTAATCCCGCTGCCCAACAATAAGAAATTTAACGCGCCTGCCCAGTCTCACAAACCATCCACTGGCTGATGCCCTTGAAGGCATGGTCCTTCACTGGAACTTGTCTTTCATTCCTTCACTAAAAGATACCAAGACTTTGCCAAGTAAGTGAATCAAAATGGAAAACAAGTCAAGTGATAGGGACAGTACTTGCATTTTGCATTTTCCTCTCTACTGAATATTACGCAATGGGTTTTGAGTCCTCCCTTGAGCCACATTCTTCAAAGCTGCAGTGGGTTGTGGCCAGGTTTCCCAACTTGTTACACAACACTTTTGCACACGACAGCAACTAGCTGCTTATCCTACACATTTTATATTCCAACGTTTCTCCAAAATTCAATGTGTTGAGAATCTTCCGAAAATCTCCAAAATTTCTCCCCCAAATCTGCCTTCCTGCTTTGATGAAAAATGACATTAAAAATGGATCGAAATATCAAACACATTTGTGCTGCTAGTGAATTTCATTTACAAAAACAAATATCACATTCTGCCATTCAGCTTATTCCGTTTGTGAAATAAGAAAGCTTTAACCCTGGCTGGTGTGGCTCAGTGGACTGAGTGCCAACCTAAGAACAAAAGGGTCACTGGGTCGATTCCCAGTCAGGGCACATGCCTGGGTTGCATGCAAGGTCCCCAGTAGGGGGCACATGAGAGGCAACCACACACACTGATGTTTCTCTCCCTCTCTTTCTCCCTCCCTTCCCCTCTGTCTAAAAAGAAAATAAATTTTAAAACAT